CCAGGGCCACCGGAGCCTGCGCCCAGCCGGCCCGCCACTTGGTGGGTGAGGCCGCTGGAGCGTCCGGGTTGCGGTGGGCAGGGCCAGTGACCGGAGGGGGCGGGCCAGGATGGAGCGAGGGGAGTGGGCAGCCTCCGCTGGAGTTTAGTGTTGGGGAGCCAGACGGCGGGCCAGGCCTAAGGAGGAGGCAGGCTCTCTCTGCATTGATCCATCATGTGCACACACCTCTGACCCACGCACAGGTGACCACCACGCTCCTCTGCCTCCATGTCCACCCCGCTCACCGGGGTCTCCATGTGTCCTTCCCAGATTGAAGTCTGAGTTCCGGCTGGGAGTGTGCTGTGTGGGGAAGGGGGCACCAGCCAGGCCCTGGAGGCGTATGCAGCCCAGCTCCCTGCCGTTCGGACTTGGGGCTGAATGACGAAGGAGGCGGTGCCTGTGTAGGGGGTAGCTGGGGCCTTGGGCTAGGGGTTTGGATCTTGCCACAAATGGCTTGTAGGCTGAGGGCAAGGTGAGGGCACAGGTAGGACTAGTGCAGTGATGGCGAACCTTCTGAGCTCGGCGTGTCAGCATTTTGAAAACCCTAACTTAACTCTGGTGCCGTGTCACATATAGTAATTTTTTATATTTGCAACCATAGTAAAACAAAGATTTATATTGTTGATATTTATTTTCTATATATTTATTTTCTATATTTAAATGCCATTTAACAAAGAAAAATTAACCAAAAAAATGAGTGTAAGAGGTTTGCCATCACTGACCTAGGCAGAGGCTCAGGGGGCACCCCCACACTCGGTGGTGCAGGCAGAGCCTGGAGTGCTGGTTGAAGGCATTTGAGCCAAGCTGAGCACACAGGTGGGTGCTGGAGATGTCACCTGGAACTAGCCAGTTCCATCCAGATCCTCCAGCAAGAGAGGATCTTAGGCCAACAGCCATTCTAATGATTAGTCATTCCTCACAACACCTGTCACGAGGGGCGTTTACGAGCCCTCTTCCATGGTGAGGAACTGAGGCACAGAGTGGCAGAGTGCCTTGTCCAGGGTCACACAGTCTGCTGCTCCCAGAGGTTTCCGTGGGCAGTTGGGGGCCACAGAGGGAGGGGAGAGCAGGGACGTTCCTCTCCACACCAGCCTCACCATCAGTGTCCCTCAGGGCGGCTACTTCCCTGAGAATGTCAAGGCCATGACCAGTCTTCGGTGGCTGAACCTGAACCGCACCGGCCTCTGTTACCTGCCAGAGGAGTTGGCTGCCCTGCAGAAGCTGGTAAGGAGCTGTCAGCGGGCAGGGTGGGTACCGTGGGGGCTGGGGCAGGTGGACAGAGCAGTCCAGAGGAGATGACAGAGAACGGTGTTGACAGGCATGAGCAGAGCTGGCAGAGGGAGAGGCTGGGTGTGTGCAGGAGCGGGCTGTAGAGGTGGACTGGGCCTGTGTGGCCGAGGGACCCCTGAATGGTGCAGAGTCATGGTGGCAGGTGGAGACTCCATAGACACCCCAGCCCCCCCACTGAGTCCCTGCCTCTTCGTCCTGGCCCAGGAGCACTTGTCTGTGAGCCACAACAACCTGACCACACTCCACGGGGAGCTGTCCAGCCTGCCATCTCTTCGGGTGAGTGTTGCCAGAGGCCACCAAGCTTGGGGGTGGGGACTGGAGTGTAGCCAGGGGCATGAGGGCAGGGCCAGACACCAAGCTGGGCCATCGCCCCTGCCCACCCCGTGTCCTTCCTGAAGGGGAGAGAATATAATAATGTCCTGTGTTAAGTAGCCTCTGGGTAAAAAAGAGAAAGTATCCAAAATTCCACCTATTTGGGGCAACGACTACAATAATAATGACTGGTAGTGGCTAAGCACTAGTCCATGTGGGTTTTCCTTATAATCCTGACCTCTGCCAAGTTCACAGATGACATTTGCCAGAGGTCACGGAGCCAGGCAGCGGGAGAGCTGGGGTGGGGGTTTGGCAGAAGGGGAGGTGGTCAGTGCGGCCTGCGTACACTGCTCCTCTCCATGGAGCTTCCGGTAGCCCAGAACACAGGCTCGGCCAGACCTTTGGGGCCTCGGCAAAGGCCGTTCCCACCCAAAGCCAAACCCCGAGATGGTCAGGACTCAGGCTGCTGGAGTTCCAATCGCTCTGCCACTTCCTGCCCGCGTGACCTCAGACAAGGCCCTTCCGCTTTCCGGGGAGGTTCCCGCGGGAACTGCTGTGAACGCCAGGTACCGCACAGACGGGTGACGGAGAGGCGGCCACAGCCCGGGCCCTGCTGTTACTGTAATCACCGCACCATTCCCCTCCGACCCCTCCTCTCTCCCCCTCAAACTCTCAGCACGTCTGTAATACGAGGTTTCAGTCCTAAGGGGAGAACACACAGACTCACTCAGTCCACACTGGTCTCTCTGGGCCAACCCCTCCCTGTTCTAGAAGCCGACTCAGAGCTACAGCCCTGTCTTGCCTCTGGAAAGGAGAAGAAGAGGGATATTCTATCAGAAAAGGTTCCCTGAGAACTGGGCTCGGGGGTCCATTTGAGCTGGGCTTTGAGGCGTGAATAGGAGCTCATAGGGAGAATAGGAAGACCTTGCCCGGTGGAGGGACTATGTGCAAGGCCGGGGGAGCACTCAGGCCTGGCCTCCAGTGAGCTTCCTGAGGGGCGGCCCTCCCTGATCTCTCTGCTTCTCCTGGTTTATCCCCAGGCCATCGTGGCTCGAGCCAACAGCCTGAAGAATTCTGGAGTACCCGACGACATCTTCAAGCTGGATGACCTCTCAGTCCTGGTCAGTGGCTGCCCATCCACTATGATGGTCCCTAAGGCCATTGTTATCCCATTTTACAAATGGAAAAACTGAGGCTTAGAGTAGTCAGTGCCTTGCCCAAGGTTCCTCAGGGAGTCAGATCCTTAACCTAGGCACCCTTCCTGCCAAGGTCTGGCTGTCTCCCTTTGGCCCTGAAACCCCCTCATCTGCTCCCCTCTCAGTGCCTGCCTGATCCCCCAGCCTGACCTCTGACCTGACCTTATCCCTCCTACCCAGGACTTAAGCTACAACCAGCTGACGGAGTGCCCTCGGGAGCTGGAGAATGCCAAGAACATGCTGGTGCTGAACCTCAGCCATAACAGGTGCCTGTCAGGCCGGGAGGTGCGTGGGGTGGGCCACAGCACAGTGTGGGCAGGTGGGTCCAGGTGGGCAGGCGCTGCTGATGGGTCGCCTCACGGCCCTTCTCCCTCCCTCCTGCCCCAGCATTGACGCCATCCCCAACCAGCTCTTCATCAACCTCACTGACCTGCTGTACCTGGACCTCAGCGAGAACCGCCTGGAGAGCTTGCCCCCGCAGATGCGCCGCCTGGTGCACCTGCAGACGCTTGTGCTCAACGGGAACCCCCTGCAGCACGCACAGCTGCGGTCAGCGGCGCTCGCCACGCCCTCCAGAACCCAGCCCTGGAGAACCTGGCCCCGCCCCTGATTCCCAGTAGCCCTGACCCTTCCCATTTTGGGTTTGGTGTGGGCTGTGTCCCCTGTGTTGTCCACCTCACCCCACAACTGTCCTTGACCTTGTCCCTTAGGCCCTCAGTCCTGTGCCCTTGCACCTCCCCCTGGCTGACCACCCCCTCTCCCTGCAGGCAGCTCCCAGCTCTGACGGCCCTGCAGACCCTGCACCTCAGGAACACCCAGCGCACCCAGAGCAACCTCCCCACCAGCCTGGAGGGCCTGAGCAACCTCACAGGTCGGCAGTGCCAGGCCCTCAGCCTCTGCTGCCCGCAGGCCCCTCACTCCTCTGGGGGAAGGGATGAGCCCTGCTTCTCCGCCCCCCCAAAGGAAAGGATAGCATTGCTTATGTTATGAGTAGCTCTCCCGTTGTCGTGGTGACTGGTAAGAACACCAAGTAATGAGCACCCAGTTTATGCGTAGACGCCCCGTGTAAGGGAGTTTCTCCTGAGGCTCGGAGGTTAAGTGACCTGCTGACAGCCACAGAGCCTGGAAGTGGTGCGGTGGGGTTCGGACAGGCCTGGCCGCGCTGGAGCTGCCTCGGGGGGGCCCTGGCTGATGCTCCCTCCCCCCACGCCCCAGATGTGGACCTGTCCTGCAACGACCTGACGCGGGTGCCCGAGTGCCTGTACACCCTCTCCAGCCTGCGCCGCCTCAACCTCAGCAGCAACCAGATTGCAGAGCTGTCCCTGTGCATCGACCAGTGGGTGCACGTGGAGACCTTGAACCTGTCCCGAAATCAGCTCACCTCCCTGCCTGTGCGTCCAGGCCTGGGGAGGGGGCAGGAAGGCTCCTGGGCGCCCCTGGCCGCTGCGCTGACTCCGCCCTGCCTGCTTTCTCTCCAGTCGGCCATTTGCAAGCTGACCAAACTGAAGAAGCTGTACCTGAACTCCAACCATCTGGACTTCGATGGGCTGCCCTCGGGCATCGGCAAGCTGGCCAGCTTGGAGGAGTTCATGGCCGCCAATAACAACCTGGAGATGATCCCCGAGAGCCTCTGCAGGTGTACTATTATGCGATAATACTCAAAGAGATGATTTTTTTTCTTCTCTTTTTGGCCAGCCACCTAATTCATTCTGATGTTGATGACTTGTTAGTGTCATAATTATAGGGCCTTTGAGGCTAAGTTTATATCATTAATGTAGAAAAGCATCATTAAATGATGCTCAAGTGTTGGTTTTTCTGATTTACAAGGTATATAGTTGGGAACCTCATAAACTGATGTGTTTGATGTGGCCTTCATCATCATACAAAATGGACCATTTACCTTGGCTTTGTGGATGGAGACTACACGGGTGGTGCCAGCGATTCTCAGTTTGGGTCCCCAGAGCCCCCTTTGGGAGGACCCTGACAGCATGAGGCCGGAGGACACAGTGCCCCTATGTGTGCCCTCCGGCTCTGAGCGCCCCCTCAGGCAGAGAGCAGAGGACCCCTCCGCCACTTCCAAACCGATTTGAGCAGAACATGTTTGTGCTGTCTGTCTCCAGAGCCCTTAATCTGCAGGTCACTTGGGAAAATCTCTGTCAACGTCACAGAAAGAATTCAGTCACTTAGCTGTGAGGAGGTGCTGTCCGCATGCTCCCGCCTGGCGCCTTTGCAGCGCCTCAGAGCTCACTGTTCCTTCACTAGCCGGCCCGCGGCCTCTGCCCTACCTGCCCCGCCCCAAGGACTGGAAGTTCCCCTGCCCCTCTCACCTGTCTCAGGCCCCGGCTCTGTCCCCACAGGTGCACAAAGCTGAGGAAGCTTGTCCTGAACAAGAACCGCCTGGTGACCCTCCCAGAGGCCGTCCACTTCCTGCCAGAGATCCAGGTGGGGGCGCCCAGGCCAACGCAGGGGTGGGGGCTGAGGGAGCGGGTACAGACAGACCCTCAGGAAGGATCGAGCACAGACGTGTCACTGGAATGAGAGGGACCCGCATAGGCCTCCTGGCGGGGTGGCCTTTACCGGGTGCTTTTGGGGAGAAGGTGAGCTACATCCCCGTATCCATGTCATGCTGGACGGCATGTAAGTCCCACCGAAGGGAAAACAAGGCCAGGACGGGCATTCGCTGAGCCAGGATGAGAACCAGGCCCCTGGCTGCAGCCCTGGCGGCTGCAAAGCGGAAACAAAGTTTGGTGTGGCCGGGAGGAGGGGCTGAGGCTCAGCGCCACCTCTGCTCACCCCGGAGGCAGGTCCTGGACGTTCGGGAGAACCCCAGCCTGGTCATGCCTCCCAAGCCCGCTGACCGCACCGCCGAGTGGTACAACATCGACTTCTCGCTGCAGAACCAACTCCGGCTGGCAGGTGCCTCCCCTGCCACCGTGGCCGCCGCAGCAGCTGGTAAGCGGGAAGGTCTGGCCTGAGGGGGCTGCTCTCTGGGGCAGCTCTCTGGGCACTGGTGGAAGGGGGTGGCCAGGGTGGCCGGATGCCCAGGGGCAGGCCAAACCGGGGCTTAGCCGTTTGCCTCTCCCCTAAGCAGGGGGTGGGTCTAAGGATCCCCTGGCTCGAAAGATGCGACTACGAAGGCGCAAGGACTCAGCCCAGGACGACCAGGCCAAGCAGGTGCTGAAGGGCATGTCGGACGTGGCCCAGGAAAAGAACAGGAAGCAGGAGGTAAGTCAGGCCCAGGGCTGGGACAGGGCCGGCGGCCCTGGGCTCTGGGCAAGACAGACTGTGACCCAGCTCACGATGGAACGGGGCCCTGGGCGAAGGCCCTGAGGCGGGTGAGACGCAGAGATGCCGGCGTGAGTGGCTGCACAGAACCAACCCGTGCGCTGTGACTGTGACCCCAGGAGAGTGCTGACGCCCGAGCCCCCGGGGGTAAGGTGCGGCGCTGGGACCAGGGCCTGGAGAAGCCGCGCCTCGACTACTCAGAATTCTTCACGGAGGATGTGGGTCAGCTGCCGGGCCTGACCATCTGGCAGATCGAGAACTTCGTGCCGGTGCTAGTGGAGGAGGCCTTACACGGCAAGTTCTACGAAGCCGACTGCTACATCGTGCTCAAGGTGAGGCGGGCACGGCCCGTGACTTGCCTTAGGTCGCTCAGCAGTCTCAGCACCGCAGCTTTGCCCGTGGAGGCGGGTGGGGGAGGCTTTGCACAGGAGGCCGGGTGGAGATGGCCCAGGCGGAGGTGTGGCCGCCATCCCCTCCTGGGCGGGGAGCCTGTGCCCATCCGAGCAGCCCCTTGGTGAGCTCGGGCCCAGGACTGCCTGGTGAGGGCTGACGTGACTGTGGCCTGGCCCCCAGACCTTTCTGGATGACAGCGGCTCTCTGAACTGGGAGATCTACTACTGGATTGGTGGGGAGGCCACACTTGACAAGAAGGCTTGTTCTGCCATCCACGCGGTGAACCTGCGCAACTACCTGGGTGCAGAATGCCGCACCGCACGGGAGGAGATGGGCGACGAGAGCGAGGAGTTCCTGCAGGTGCCGTGGGCTGGGAGGGCCGGCGAGGGCAGGGTCGAAGGGGTGGGGCGAAGGTGGTGGGCATGGCTAATGAGGCAGGCAGGGAGCTGAGACCAAAGTGGTTTTGGGTCAAGACTTGAAGCAGAAAGCAGGGGCAAAAATGGTGAAGGCAAGGGAACGAGATGAGGCCAAAGGTGGGGGGCCTGGGTTATTGGAGGCCAAGAGAGATGGGGAACTGGGGCCAATATGGCTAGGGGACAGGGCCACCACCTGGACACCAAGGGGCAGGGCCAAGGGCTGGACCGAGGCCAGTGGGCAGGGTTAGTGAGTGGTTCTGGCCTTTCTTCCAGCTGCTTAAATGTAGATGAGGCCACACTCGATTTTACCCAGATTCGCCCAAGTGTGCCCTCCTGTAAACCTTCTGTACCCAGTACTCATACCTCAGCATGCTATGCGCACCTGAACTGCACAGGAGTGAACACATCCCTCCGTTTGTACATCTTACCACTCCAGTATGTGTCTGTGTTTATAGACACAGATCTTATTCCTCCTCTGTAACGTCATCACAGATTTGTAGCACCCGGCACACCTGTGTACAGGTGGGATTGGTGGGAGGTGGTGTTAGCTCATGATAAAGGCCTGCCCCCTCACACACAGGTGTTTGATAACGACATTGCCTACATTGAGGGTGGAACAGCCAGTGGCTTCTACACTGTCGAGGACACGCACTACGTCACCAGGTGAGGTGTGTGGGTGGGCAGCATTGACCTGGACTGAGCTTGGAAGGACTGGGGGAGGGTGTTAGGGTAAACTGGTCCCGTGGCGTCCCTCCAAGCCACGTTTGCTCCGGCCTCCAGGATGTACCGCGTGTATGGGAAAAAGAACATCAAGTTGGAGCCTGTGCCACTCAAGGGAGCCTCCCTGGACCCCAGGTGAGTACCAGTGATGGGGATTTGGGCCTGGGAACAGTCATTGCCTGTAGCTGTCACAGCCCCTCCTCCCCTCCTGTCCAGGTTTGTTTTCCTGCTGGACCGGGGGCTGGACCTCTATGTGTGGCGGGGGGCCCAGGCCACGCTGAGTAGCACTACCAAAACCAGGTATGAGATGCACCCTGCTCAGGCATGGGCAAGGCTTTTGTGCAAAGCAGAATTGTCACCTAAGAAGGGGTAGGGGCCTTACTAAGGGCTTTGCACCTGTCCTCAGGCTTTTTGCAGAAAAAATTAACAAGAACGAGCGGAAAGGGAAGGCAGAGATCACGCTGCTGGTGCAGGGCCAGGAGCCCCCAGAGTTCTGGGAGGCACTAGGGGGTGAGCCCTCTGAGATCAAACAGCACGTGCCTGATGACTTCTGGCCACCGCAGCCCAAGCTGTATAAGGTGAGCGGGGCTGCAGGGCGGGCCTGACTCCACCAGGGCTCAGGCTGGGGGATGGGCCACGGACTCCGTGGTGACTGGTCTTCATCTGGACTTTGGTGTCGAGGGTGCCACCTTCTGGACAGAATCGCCCTGAGCAAAGGTCTGGAGGCTGGCTCTGAGTCAGGCCATTAGCATAGTGTTAGGCTGTGTTTGCTGGAAGGAGCTGCGGAGAGGGAGGCTGAGAGTGCCTGAGTGCCAGGCCTGAGAACCTGGCCTTAATTCTGGGGTGTTGTGAGCAGAAAAAGGACGTTAGAAAATTAGGAAAAATAGTAAGTTCTGGAGAGAGTAGGCAGGAAAAGTACCATTTACAAGTCCTTCCACTGATAGGATACCCTTACAATGACCTTGGAATGGAGGGAAGAAACTAAGGCCCAGAGAGGAGCAGGCAGCGGACCTGAGCTCACACAGTAGGCAGGGCCAGGCTCCAAATCAGGACTTGTGGTGGGGCTTGTGTCCCCAGACCCTGCCCCTACAGCGCTGGCCTTTCCTCCTGCTAGGTGGGCCTGGGCCTGGGCTACCTGGAGCTGCCCCAAATCAACTACAAGCTGTCAGTGGAGCATAAGAAGCCGCCCAAGGTGGAACTGATGCCGGGCATGCGGCTGGTGAGACGCACAGGAAGGAGGGCGAGGAGGCAGGACCTTCCCCTTCAGCCCAGCACTGGTTGACCCCAGCCTCTGGCCCCGCAGCTGCAGAGCCTGCTGGACACGCGCTGTGTGTACATCCTGGACTGTTGGTCCGATGTGTTCATCTGGCTGGGCCGCAAGTCCCCACGCCTTGTGCGTGCCGCCGCCCTCAAGCTTGGCCAGGAGCTGTGCGGAATGCTGCACCGACCACGTTACGCCACGGTCAGCCGCAGCCTGGAGGGCACTGAGGCGCAGGTAGCAGTGCGGGCCAGCTGTCCGGGCCACACCCCGGGGCTCCTCCCCAGGATTCTGTGGATCCGTCAAAGCCCAGACCCTCTGAACCAGCTACTGCCCTGCAGAGCTGAGCCACCCCCACCGCTTCTGTGCTGTTGCCAGGCCCCGCCCCTCCATGCCCCTCTCACTCCCGCTTCCTAGGCCCCCTTTTCTTGGGCTCCATCCTCCGTGACCTGCCCCTCCCCCTTCTGGTTTCTAGACCCCACCTTCATACCCCCATGTCCACCAACCGAGCCTCACTCCATCTACTTCCACCCCAGCCTTAACTGCTGACCCTCACTTGTGTTTTCTCCCCTTGGCAGGTGTTCAAAGCCAAGTTTAAGAATTGGGATGACGTGTTGACGGTGGATTACACACGCAATGCAGAGGCCGTGTTGCAGGGCCAGGGACTTGCCGGGAAGGTGAAGCGTGACGCTGAGAAGAAAGATGAGATGAAGGCTGACCTCACTGCACTCTTCCTGCCAAGGCAGCCGCCCATGGCGCTAGCAGAGGTGGGGTCGGGGCCT